AAAAAGGTCTTTTGAGGCCTACCCAGGCTAAAGAAATACCCAGAACGCCTAAATGTGCATTCAGCACAGCAAAATATTTAGAAAGGTTGCCAACAAAAGGGAAAAAACATACAATTACCTTCCAAACCTTATGACTCTGAACCAGTAACAACTGATGCAATGTCTTTCAAGCTGCTGCAGATCCAGCCATACTCCAAGGACTCCCAGAGCCAGTATCCACTGGAAGCCTGAGGACATTCCACCATCCAGCAGACACATGCTAGCGGGCCAGAAGGAGATGGCTTCTCTGCTGACAACATACAGCACTGAAAAGGAGACTGACAAAGCTCCCAAAGCGTCCTGGAGCTTGCAACAAAAACCATCAAACACGAATTCTTTTCCTCAGGCTTCCCCAAACATGCTGATTGCAACATGTTTCAGCCTACTGCCCCACTCACTCCTCCCAGGCCAGGGAGCCATGCAACTGCATTTCTGCATACCCAGGTGACCCATAACCCAGAAAGGTTATTTTCTGTTGAAAACCAATACACAGCCTCTTCCCAGACTCCTGCCCCACACCTGAGCCAAAGGATAAAACTTCTAGCTAAGTCTTTTTGATTGTGCTTTTCCCAGACTCTCACTTCACTCCAAGTTTGGGATGGAGAGCAGATGAGGTTGAAGGAAAAGGTAACAGGTTAACTTGGTGGGTGTGTTTAGTTTTGGTATGGAATTGGGAAAGCAAAATGAACTGGGTTCCATAGACTTGATGGTGCCCAAACTTAATGTTTCAGAAGAAAAATCCTGGGTTTAAGAAGACCAGTTACACAAATGTTTTTCATTCTACTTTGCCTTGCAACATTAAGCAACCTTCAGGTCAGTTTTTTTTTTTTTCCTGCAGAATATATGTGCATATATTAAACAAGACTGATTTCAAGACATTTGATTGATCAGATGCAAAATAACATCTCTGCACCCTATCTTCTTCCAAGGCCATAGAGTAAAGAGATCAGCAAATGGCTGCACGTTTTTAATAATTGATTCCTTAACCCTGAGTTTAGAAAACTAACTAACAAGGTCTGCATATGAGGCTTCAATACCTGTGGCTTAAAAACACTTAGGGGGAATGTCAGCCAGCAGGACACAGCAGCATATGTCCATACCATCCCACCCTACCTAGCCTTCCATCCCTTGTGCTCTGCAGGAAGTGCACCTGAGAAGGGAGGTACACAAGCTCTCTTTCTGCATTAATTACAAAGCCTGGCTTTAACCCTGGTCTGGTTTGTGAATGGTCCCCACAGAGTTGTGCAGCACAGCACTGCAGTGTCAGTCATATGAGACCTCCCCACTGTCACCTCATGCATACACAGCAGCGACACACTTCTACAGAAGCACAAAGCCACCCTCATTGTACTTCATGTCAGGCTGACGCCATGCTGCTGACAAAACAGAGCATCACGTGCCCTGCAAATGTGCACTACCACCATCGAGATCTTTGCTTTTCTTTAATGTCTGCCACAAGCAAGCATTCGGCTTTGTTTCTCTGTAATTGCTGCATGAGGGAGGAAAGCTGGGATTTGACCTCTGAAGAACACAATGCACAGTTGTGCGCCCACAACATAGGATCAAGGTTTGTCTTGCACTGAAATGAACACAGTTAAAGCTGTCCTCGTGTTTTTTAATTACTTCTTCAGTCTTCAGCTTGCTGATCATTTTCTAGGGCAAATACTCCATTGTGCCTTTAATGTATTCCAAGCACATCAATCTCATATGATCTGCTGTGTTAACACCCCCATTCCACTAGGCCCTTCCAAAGTGTTGGCTAGCGTCAATGTTAAGGAGGTTTTTGAAAAGCTAAGAAATATACAAATTTGAACCAATATGGGAAAAGCAGGTCAAGTGATCAGAGTTGAGAAGAGGAAAGAAATCATAAACCTCAACTCTGTGCACACTTGGGATCAAAGCAATACGGCAAGAGAGCCCCATCACTGGAGTGCTGCCGGAGGGCATGGAGGAGGCAGAGCACCATAGGCAATGGGCAGCCCAGCTGCACAGCACTCTGCCATGAAACAGGGCACTGTTAAGGATTCATGGACAATGGCCAGGGGGTCACCAGACACAAGGAGTAGCATGGGGGCATCTGCTGCAGACAACCTCAACAAGAAGTGAAGCAACTCTTAGGAAACTGGAGAAAGCTTCACAATGGCAGGGCCAGGCATTCCAAACAACATTCCCCACTAGCTGTAGCTTCTGGAAGGGCCCTGTGCTGGGGTACAAAAAATCCACTGAGTGTGGAGCCAGCCGGGCAGTATCTCCACGGGGGGCACCACAGGCAAGACACACAGAGCAGGAGTGTGGTGGAGGGCAGGGTCAGTGACAGCCCAGCAATCACCCAGCAGGTGTGCGGGAACGAAACAGATGAAGATTGAGACAGAAGAACTGGGAACAGGTACAGGCATGGCACAGCACAGCCCAGACAGGGACTTGGGACCTCAAAAGGTATGTCAGGGGAGGGCCCAGGTAAGGCTTCTCCCAGCTCCTTCTCACACTAAGCTGTTTCCCTGCAGCCTGACTCCAGATACCACTGCCTCCAGACCTTGCCTCAAGCACAGGCAGCCACAACCCAAGAAAGACAAGTTTGAGGTTCAGACCCCCAGCACAGTGAAAATGAAGAAATGTGAGCAAATGTTTGCAGTGAAAAAACTTGTGTTTTATTTCCTTACACAACCAGATGTCACAGGGACAGGTGGTACAGGTAAATCACAGGCAGCTGGTAAAAGGCAGAGGCTGGATGCAGAGAGAGTAGTAGGAAGGATAAGAGCAATCTTGATTCTCAGTTTCTGTGCCCCTGTCCTAATTTTCCTCAGGGAAAAGGAGAAGGACCATCTCTAAGGCTAACATCCAGTGTCACCTCCTTCCCCAGACTTTCCCAGTCCCACCAGGGAGATGCTGCAGATTTCTGAGACACCTCTAAGTCAAATGCAGGCATCTTCTGAAGGGGTCTTGAAGTTTTGCACTTCAAATGCAAAGGTCACTGTGGGCTCAGAGGCCACAAATATTTATGACTCCAGGGGTAGCTGACAGGTATGGGTTCAGTGGAATAAATGCAAACCCAGAAGGAACGGTCTTTGTCATGTCAATATCCCACACCAGAGGGAAGAGGTTGGGAAGCATGCACTTCATACAGAATCAGCTGTTCATACAGAATCAGCTCTCATTTTTGGAAGTACAGAGTTTTTTTCAACTATTCTGCTATTTTCTTTCTAGGGCAAAAAGAAACCAAAAAAAGAAAGGACTGTACCATCTGTGTCTGTCAAACAAACTGCATCCCTCTGTTGGCTAGAATTACAAAACCTGTACATGGCAGAAAAGCTAGCAAATCTGCTAAATAAAAAATCCTGCTTATTCCTTCTCAGAGCAGTAGAGGGAGAGATCAACCTAGAATTCATGATGGTCAGTCTCTCTCACACTTGATAAGTCTGCACAAATTCTTGCCATAAATCTCCCAGAGTGATGTTCACAAGCCCTCCACCCAGCACAAGGAAAAAGATTCTAGAACGTGATTTTAAAATGAAGAGGCCAAATGGAGATTGCTCTGAACTAGCCTGTGAGACCCAAGAGTTTACTCTGTAAAAAGAATGCACTCTCCAGGCAACTGCTCTGGAGATTCGTCTTTCTACTGTGTAGAGCAGTGGATGAACAAGTTAATTCTTCTGAAACACAGGCTGCTGACCACTTGAAATATCAGAATGTGGGTCGCAATCCTTCTTTCCCTCACACTCCACCAAATTAAAATGAAGGATAATAAAACACTAAAAATTGAGATAAATATGTCTTATATCTTTGGATAGTATCTATCTACCAGACTGCTCAAGATGGTCAGGATCTGACAGATTCCACCATGAAAACAAAGAAAAAAAATCCAGTTGTGCAGTTCCTGAGGACTTTAAACAACATGGTTTGAGATTTTTGGCTAAGGGGACAGCAGAACATCACGAAACAAAACAAAACAAAATAAAAAATAACAACACAAAGTAGTCCTTCATGTTTCTTTATCTTCCTGGGAGGTGAAACAGACTTTCACAGCAACAGACAGGCATTCAGCAGTTCCCTTTGCAAAAGTTTTGAGATTTATGTTCAGCTTTCAGCCCTGATCTAGGGAACCCTGTAAGTCACTTTAGTTAATGTCACTTTCCTGAAGAACTTCACTTGTGGAGCCTAGTTATCATTTGCACGGCAGACCACTGGGGAGAGTGTTTAAGATATGCCCAACGGATGCTGTGTGTCACAACAGCAAAACACTAGTGGTGAGAAATTTCATTGGGAATATTTTGCTTCATCAAAACTAAATATATTCTCATAGAAACAATGACTGATACTAATTACCAACACTCTGTTGGTCATGGCCACAAAATTCATCTTTCCTTTGACAGATTTAAAAGTAATTAAAAATTCACCAGCTATTTGTTGAGGAAATTTCTGGTGAGGAACTTTTCCAAGGTAAGTAAATTTCACAGCTGAATTTCTTGGTGTAAATGCTATTCACATCTTTCTGCATTGCCACTATTTGGCTACCCCTTCATAAAACAGAAGTGTGTTTGACAGAAACTTTAAAATAGTCTGGTGCAATGAACAATTCCATGGAAATTTTATACAGGTGGAAATCTGCCTTTCCGGCAATGTAAAGAATTCCGGATTAGTAATTCCATTTGCCTGTGTCATCGTATGTGCATGTGTATGAATGAGTGTCACTCATCTGAATGGCTTCACACAGTTACTGCCATTTTGCAGATCCTATCAAAATTGACTCCTCCACAGACTGAGGTTGGAAAGAAAGAACTTGGGAAGAAAACTGCAACACTCTAAATACCAGGCAAACGTGTGTCTTTTGGCAAGTGATGACTAATATTACCAAGTTTTATACTTTGTCAGATTAAGTAATTTGAGGTTTTGTGTGTTAAAACACGAAGGCTACCTACTTCTCCTTGGGCCTACTGAAGACTTCAGCACCAATGGAGTCTGTATTATCTCTGCCCTTTTAATCATATAATTTCATGTGATTACATGATACAAATACTACCATGAGAATACAAATACATCATCAGAAAGGCAAGAAGGTAAGTCAGATCTAAGCCAACCCTATTTCTGGGGAGTAGAGCTACTCATGTACTCTGCTTATTTTTAGCAAAAGATGGTGGGTAAATCTGAGCCAACACGTTTTCATTCAATCTGTCCCTGGACACTAACAGATGGTGCTTCCTCATGCCAACCACTAATGTACATTACATTGGCACTCAGTGTCAGGACACAAAACCAGCCAAGTCCCTGCTTAAATCTGCTGATGCCAGGAAATTTGATAATAAACAGCTAGCCAGGGACACAGTCCCAAGTTCTTAGTCCACCTCCAAAGCAGCACAGAAGCTGTACCTGTGCAATGGTGTCAGCTGCTCTGCACCTTGTGGCTATCAATAGAGCAAAGGAGGGTCCTGGACTGGGGAAAAAGGGGCCTTGAGACCAAGCAGGTATCTATCTAAAGATGGAGGGAGAGCCACCTGCTTCAGGGTAATTAGGTGTGTGCATAAATCTGGGCTTTGAGAATCCTGACAATCAGGACTTTAATGTTCAAACATTTGAACAAATGACAATTAATAGAAATCATTCTAAATACAAATATATGCATATATATGTGCATATATTACGTGCAGAATGATTTGACTGTTTAGCATTTCTCAGTGCCCCTTGAGCACCGAACATACTAAATTCAGCCTCACAGGTCTACTTCCCATGGCTACTAATCCTAATTTATAAGGTCACCTGCAAAAGAAAATTCCACAGAACTCCTCTGAGGCGCTCACTCTGTTTTACAGGTCCGTTGTGTTTATTCTTTGAATACAAGCATCCAAAATTCTTCAGCTGTAAAATTCTTGTTCCTTTCCACCAGGTGCCTCAGTGCCCAGGCTTCTTTCTTGGATTGCTCAAAGCTTGGTATCCACATCTTTTGGAGAGAAATCCAGCCAGGGTTTGACGATGAGAACCAGAATGCCTGTGGTTTGGGGCAGCTCAGATGACTAACCTGAGCCTCCCACTTCTGGGGTAGCCATCCCTGGCAACAAAGACAAATAAAAGGGGTTATTCAGGAACCCAGGCAAACAGAGAAGAAAAGTGCTATGCCATTAGTAGGCTGTCAAATCCCGTCAGTTACACTTTTCCTCCTGCTCCAGGCTCTACCCATGTCCCTGTGGAAGGTCTCCCCTAAGCATCTGGGACAAGATCAGTCATGCTGACGAGCCATGCATCTGAGTCTCAGATAAGGTTTGGCTGTAAAAGAGCAGCACCAACCCACACAAAATGAAATTACAAGACAAGGAGTAATATTTTCATCATTATATTCTGTTTTCATCTTAAATATGCACACACTTACCGAGATTCTTTTTCTAAGGGAAAAAAACAAGCCATGAATCTGGCCAGGAGAGTAAACTGGTCTTCATAATTTTATTGACTAGAGAGCCACAAAAGCACAGGTAAGGAATATCTGTATCTATCTATTCTCTACCTTTCCATGGCTACATTCCTAACTCAAAGAGAGAACACATGTCCAGATTTGCACCAGACTCAAAGAGCAAAGTCTAGTTAAGTGTACTTGCCAGTTTGTAATTCTCATCACTTCAGCTCACCTTAATAACTTCAGAAGTTTTCTCCACCTCCCTTCTACTGGCTGACCATTTAATGTATTGCTCAGATGGTGATCAGCTAAAATACAGCCTCTCACAAACATACAACCTGGCTTAGAAACTGTTCCAGTGTTTAGTCACCAAATGTGGCCACACACAATGGCATGTGAATGTGCCCACACATATATAGAACCTGACAGTCATACAGTGCTTAAGACAGATCAGAAGACAGGGATCTCTAGTTCAGTTCCCTCTTCCAAACACGTGCAATCATATATAATTGCCTAGGGCAAAATTGAGTTTAGTCTTAAAACACCTCCAAGGACAGAGATCCCACAACCTTTCTGGGCAACCTCTTTCCAGATGTTCCAGGTCATCTGAAGAAGGTCAACATGTTAGGCTACTTTCTACAACATGAAAAAAAATCTCCTCCCTGAACAACTCAAGCCTTTAGCTGAAAATGACGACCAGCTCAGTGGTCAGTGTCATGTGCTCACACACTGCACTGCAGCACTGTGAGGAACACATGTTCTCGACACCTGTTTACATGAGGATGCACAACCCAATGGCACTGGGATATCGTGGCCATCAGCTAGCTGGAAATCTGGTAACCAAACTTCCCGGAACAAACCTGACCCTAATGCCATTTTAAAGCCCCTCTGAGACACAAACACAAATTCACACATACCTTTTCTTTCCGTCTGATGTTTTCCCACACTCTGTTACAAACCATGCACTCAAAGGTGTCAATGTAATTGTCCTGGGTGATATCTTGCACTCCCCACTTGCGTTCCTTCATTGTTCTAAGCAGTCTTGGGTTGGAAATGTCCCCTTTCAGTTTCCATTGTAGGTAAGACTCATATTCTTCATCATTGGTATCCAGTGTTTTGATATAGTGGGCTAGATCCCGAGGGTGTGAAAAACTGGATACCAGGATTGCACTCTTGTTACTAGGAAGCCAGTCTACAATGCTGGGAGACCCAAAGTACACTGGCACCACTCCCAACTTCAGTGGCCGCCAGAGTTTTTCAGTGATGTAATCGTCACAGATAGCATTTTCAAAAGCAAGAATGAACTTGTACTGTGCCAGTATTTTTAAAAAGTTTCCATCATCCATGGCAGCTGGATTTCTGAGATGCTGGGGAAGGTCTCTATTATGCAAACATTCCCCATAAGAGTCTACTTCAATGTGGCACATCAGCTCACGCACATAGCTGTCCCTGTCAGAAGGGGGGTTGCAGTCAGACTGCACATACACAAGGGGTGCAAGCCTTTTCCTCAGGCTGTTTTTCATCTGCAGGGGGATCATGAACCTCAATGACTTCAGGACCTCTACACCCTCAAGATACTGAGTGGTCAGTGGCAGGTGAGAGTGGCGACTAAATGTTGCAGTATGGTTGAATAAGGTGATGGCTGCTTCATGGAACAGTTTGTAGTTGTTTTTTGGTGACTCTTCATGGAAAAGGGCCCAGTCATGATATTCTTTACGAGGGAGAGGTAAACTGTCTATACTGAAGTCAGTACCTAGACAAAAGCAAACAAAAGCAAGTGTTCATCCTGCTCATCTGTCATGTGACACTAACTACAATGGCACAGAAGTCTAGTTTTAATTTAGTATCAGCGCTAGAACCATCACATTTCTGACACTATAAGGCAGTTATTTCAAAGAATGCAATTAATGCAAAGGCACAAGAGCATAATGACAGACAAAACTGAATTTCATAGCAGAAGAACCTAGAGAAGTGGGATCAGTAGTTAATATTAAAGTGGTTTCCTTTCATGTCATATTAGTTTAAAGGCCTCTCACGTCAAAGGATCACTAGGAATTCCATATTTTAATGCACTGAAATGAGACTAGTAAGACATCTAATAATCCCCTGGTTCTCTAAACAGGGGAACAGATGGCATTTCCTCTGCGATGTGAGGAAAATGGTTAGCACAGAACTCTATTTGGTTCTAGTAATAAAACAACTAAATGGATGCTGAAATCCTGGACAGGATTAAGGAGAAAAAAATTATTACTTCAAGTTTTGAAAAGACATCGTACTGTAGAGACTTAGGAAGCCACATTATTAACTTTTCAAAGAGAAAATTAAGAGGTGGTGTATCACAGCTGCCTATCAGATACATGAAGAAGTAGCTCCTGGCAGAAGACAGCTCCTCAAAGTAATGCCAATAGTAGAAGAATAATAATGTCTAAACTCTAAAAACAGACAACTGCAGAAACTGGGAAAACTGTGGTTGAAGCCTTAGGACAAACCTAGATGACTTTTCTCAAAGGCTGGTCTGTACAAAACTAAGTTGAAAGTACCAGTTCATTAACACACTGCTTGCCCTCCTTTCATAACTACTGCACTACACTCTTACAACCAGCCTTACTGCAGATTAAATGCAAACTTGCCCCATTTCTGTCACGATACTTCCCCACTGTACTAGAACTGTATCTGTTTTCTACTTAAGTAAAGGCACTGAACATACAAAACTTTTAGCTAATATTGTCAAGCAAGAGAGGTTCAAAAACTGAAACTAACACTGAAGAGCTGGTTTAGAAAATATCACAAATTCTTATCTTCAGATAAACTAACATCTGTGGCAGCCTAACCTTTGTGTAGCAAACTGTATGGATGATTGCATCTAGGACAATTGGGAATACAAGGTCTTAAACAAGTGGTGTTCAAACCAACTAAGGGAAATGGCCAGTAAGCAGCAGACTCTGTGGAGGTAGGGTAATGCTTTCTCCATGCCAGTTTCCCTCTTTTACCATAAGACAGAGATGCACAGTCACAAGAAGCATGGTCAAACAGCGGCCACATCTCTACAGCGGGCTGTGGACCACAAACAACCACAAAGCACCTCAGCTTTTACCAGGAACTCTCCATCAGAAGACTGCACATGCACATGCCTTGTACTGTTGCATCAGATATAAAAAATTCCCACCCTGGGATGGGATCTAGGCATTCCCATGCCTGGATCTAAATGCATACAACCCAGCACACTCTGTTTTGCAGGCCTCTACCCTCAACGAATGAAGACTGCAACCATCACTCCTATCACAGACATGAAAATTGCAATGATCAAGAATCATCACTGGATCCATCAGAGGTGGATCTTCACTATCTACTTCCTTCCTTTTATCCCTTCCTCCTCTTTTTCTCTTTCTTTTCCTTACATATTTTCTTCATGAGATTTTTATACTTTTATATTAAAGAAACAGAAGAGCCACATACCTCCTTTCCACTGCAATTAAATTGTTTTTAAATAAATCTGGCTGATATATACACACACCAGTAATCCAGAGTTGTTTCATTCTAATTCACCCAAGGCATCTATTAACAAGAACCTCAGTTACCATCCCTCAGAGGTGGGTCATAACACCATCTCACTCACACTTGTAACTTTTCACTCTCCATTCTACCCCTGACCTCAAACCACTGATGGGAAAAAGAAGGGGGTGCTAGCAGAAGTCTTACACAGAATACTGATCTAAAAATTAAGACATAAAGAAGATTTAAAAAAATGCCCAGTGGTCCTTGCAACTATATTAGCGTACCAAAGTAACTCCAAGGACAACCTTATAAAACTAATATGAGACTTCATTACTGCAGCAGAGATAGAAGTTAGCTGTCAGTAATGTAAAAATCTCCTACAGAGCAAGATCCCTCAGGAGCATCAGGTGGAGGTTTTTAAGGCCACTAAACATCGACCTTCTGTCTTCTACTCAGGTCCTAAGTCCTCAGCAATAAAAGGATGAAAGGGTATGCCACTCAATGAAAAATGCTATTTGCTTCTTCTGTTTTTGATGTGTTATCTTGGTTTTGATCTGTTATTTTGTGACAGACGGAGGTGACAAAAACTGAAAGTTAATCAAATTCTCATGGAGAAATTCATGAAGTCTGTCTGGCTTTGAAAACACTTTTTTTTAGGTGATGCAAAGAGTAGTAACAGTGCATACCTACAATAATAAAATGCTGTGGATTGAAATCACAGCACTGCAGCTTGGTCTCTTACAAGTGTGCTCCCTCTTTCAGGTAGTATTGCAGGGAAATGGGGGCAGAAACACAGGCAAGAATGAGAGAAAGACAAAAAGGCAACACGTAAAACTTACCAAACTAGGGGACAGTTAAGCCAGGCAAAGAGAAACATAAAGAAAAATGCACTATAAAATCATACAATCTCAGAATCATTTATGTTGGAAAACACCTCCAAGATTATTAAGTCCAACCTTTGACCAATCACCACATTGTCAACTAGACCATGGCACTTGATTCCATGACCAGTTGTTTATTGAACAACCCCAGGGATGGTGACTCCACTATCACCCTGGGCAAGCCATTCCAATGTTTAACAACCTTTTCCATGAAAAAATTTCTCCTGATGTCCAACCTGAACATCCCCTTGGTTCAGCTTGAGGCTGTGTCCTCTCATCCTGGTCACTGGTTGCCTGGGAGAAGAGGCCAACCCTACAGCCTCTTGTCAGGGAGTTGTAGAGAGTGATGATGTCACCCCTGTGCCTCCTTTTCTCCAGGCTGAACAACCCCAGCTCCCTCAGCCATCCTCACTGGACTCTTCTCCAGACCCTTCCCCAGCTTTGCTGCCCTTCTCTGGGCATGCTGCAGCATCTCAGTGTCTTTCTTGAAATAAGAGGCCCAAAACTGGCCACAGGACAGATCAGAGTGCATCAGAATGACTGAATTTAATACAACACTTAATCAATCTCAGTCCAGCAAGAAGACAAAAAGGATTAAAGAGAAGATAACATCAGCATACCCCCTACCCCACGAGATGAAGGAAATAAGGAAGCATATGATGGAATAGAAAAAAGCACCACTAGACTAGAACTATGAGCAATTTCTAGTCACTTCCTAAATATTAATTTGAAAATCTTAGATATGCAGAAGAGAAATATATATGCTGCTAGGAGAAGTTATGCATTTTAGAAGACATCTTCCATTCAGAAGTCATACTTCAAGGACTCTGTGCACCAGTACAGAACAGATAGACATCCTTCTCTTTTAGGAACAACACCCCTGAGGCCCTGACAGATCCAGCTCATGCTAAATACTATATTCTATGAATTATAGGACACTAAAAAGGTGGAGTTGGGAATCTCTCCCAAAGGCAGAAACAAAGTCTAGCAAGGGGATGCCACATTTCATTTCAAAACAAAAGACAGTGACACTTGACAGTCATCACCTACACTAAGGGGCTCTCCAGGCCAGGACAGTGAGTTGGGACAAGCTGCAGAAAAATTTGTGTTCCTAACAAAGCAGTTGTGCTGGGAAACATCTACACCCTGTATTTTTGCACAGTACTTTTCTTAACCTTTGGATCATTCTTCTCTTGACTAGCTTACTGACCAAGTACTGAGGAAATTATCGCATTTCCTTTGGAAGGTGAAACTGTGCTCTGATCCAGCCTTAGCACGGAAATTCAGATATTCAAGTTTTCACCCAGCAGGTTCTTTAGAGGAAAAATCTGCAAAAGTAAAATATACTTTTTTGCAGACTCACAGCTCACTGCATCATGACAGGGGAGAGAGGGGGAGAGAAAGAGAGAATGAGAGAAAAACTCTGTTTTGGCATTGTGAGATCATTTACTGTGGTTTAAAAATAAGTAACAATTTTGCATATTTTGACACTTGTCTTTACAAAGTTCATAGCCAGCATCTCTATAAAAAGAAAAAAAAAAAAAAAAAGCTACAGGGAGAGTCTTACACCCAGTATAAATTGTCTTTTAAAAATGTGAGAATAAACTATCTCTAGAAGCCTGCTAAAAAGGAAGAGTAACAATCCTTCTAATACTGAAAAAGACAAATGAAACTACCACCAGAGAACAAAATCACCAGACTTTACAGCTTTCCTGTGATGCAATCCAGCTTTCTTTGTCTTTAATTGGGTCAGCTTCTCATTCCTTTGCTGTTATTCCTTTGCTTTCATGCTTAACCACCATATTATCTAACAAAGCTGACCTACTTGGAGATCTAAAAAGATCAGTGATGAGAAGTTTTTGTTTGACTGCTAATAACAAAGTTTAAGGCCCTTCTTTCCAGTTCACCTGTATTCAGATTGAGCAAATGAGATTCAGTATCCTGATTTATTTTATTTCCAGACAAAATATCTGAACATACCAGTCAGAGAAAAGCATCTGAATTTATTTTTCCACCTAAAACTCAGGTTTTCTTTCAAAAACAACTTCATGAGGGAAAAGAACAAAGTTGATGAAGTGAGGTCTACTTTTAAATGATGCATCTTTCATGCTCTGTAGATTCACTTTACAGTGTATGCAATGGGAAGTCCCTGGCAGAGCCAGAGCAGCTGAGGAAGTTGCACTAGCTGCTGCTCCCTGTATGGAATCAATAGGTTTCTTTCACTACATTCCATTTAGAGTCTGCTAGCAATTTCTTGGCACATGAGGCAGGGGAGTTGCACTGCTACCAGAGAGTGCGTTATTTTTAGACAAAAGATTTGCACAAGTGCAACAAAGGCCTTGCAGAACCTCTGCTACGGGTGACAAGCCAGAAGACTGGAAAAAGTTGGCTTGATCTCAGACTGTCTTTAAATGCCTTGGCAATGACATGAAATTGTCTGTTCTTCCATGAACAGGGAGTACATGTGATTGGAAAGCAGCATGAGACAAGGCATCAGTCATACCACAGATGTGCACGGTCACTTTTCAGAGTGAGTTTCACACTTAAAAGAGTTTCACTCTTTTACAGAGCACTGGTAATGGTATTCCAGCACCAGGCAAAGTTCAACCCAATGAGCAGCATAAATTTTCTGTTCTAAGTCATTGCCACCTAAAATATTTAATCTCTATGGGGAAAGAACCAAGTGGGAGGAAAAGCTACTTTGAAAACAAATAGATTCTTACCATAGAACAGAAATGCTCTTGTCATCTGATTGTGCTGGTAGGTCTTGTTTGTAGTAAAGAAGCAAACATCCTCTCCACACTGACTGAATCTCCCTGTCTCTCCAGTCAGGGGAGACCACCAGAGCAGGACAGGATAGTGATTTACATCAGACTCTGTCTTGAAGCTGCTGTGAAGTTCCTGCTTCTTAAACTGAAAAGCCTGTCTCTCCCCAGGCTTTAATGGGCTGCTGTGTAAACTGGAGATTATTGACACCTTATTCTCTGAATTGCCCAGTTCGGTGATAACCTTCAGGGAAATAAACATACACATCATAACACATCACTGTCATTAGCCAGGACATCTACTTGCAAACCAGAATTTAAGTATCAAGCACTTTAAGTTTCCATCAGTCAAATTGGATGCATTTCACTGACTGCAGACACTACGTCAGAACAGCAAAAGCTTTAATTTGAAATTGTAAGGACAAGGCAGGAAATACATTTCTTTACTGAAATATGGCCACATCATGTGTGACTTAACAACACAACTTCTACTTTCTCCCCTGGAAAATGCATAGGGCAGTAAAAAGCCCTTCAGTAGCCAGGTTTCTTCTGAAAATTAGCTGTTAAAAACCCATTAGGTTTTCCACTGGTCCAGCCTTGTCCCCCAGCCTGATGAGTTCAAACATGTGAAAAGAGGAGGCAATGCTGGATAGAGGCAACACAACACGGCATGGTATGTTGCAACATTGCTGAGAAACTCCTCCAGAAGCTAAGGATGTACACAAGAAAGGTATTCTCTGAGTTCTGTCACTTCCAAAGTCAGCTGTCACCACAAGGCCAATGCTGCTAACAGAGTAACTCCTGGTGAAGCAGAGACTAGTATGGAAAATGTCTGTTGCCTCACTCATCTGACATCTGACACCCATCCTGCTTTGACAGCAATCTCATACATACCCCACCCCCTTGCCCCTCTACCTGGAGTGTCAGCACAAGGAAAAAAGCAGCTGCAAAGCAGAAGCAAGATGCCCAAAGTATCTTCCTCCTCATCCTCATCATGCTGCACTACCAGGCCTGCCAGAGCACATTAGGAAGGTCAGCTTGTCCAAAGTCTTCACTCTTTGCTGCTGGGTTTTCCCACTTTATCCTTATTGCTCTTCATGGTGACTGCTGCTGAAAAAGAGTAGAGCATCAACACAGACAGCTCCTTCAAAGCTCAGCGGTCAGTTCCACATCTACCCATAGCCTTCTGCAGGTGCCAGAGCCACATTTTCAGCCAGGTATGCAGAAAGTAGCCTGCACAAGACAGCACTCTTGCTCACAAAGTCTGAGGCACCTACTTCCCCTGCAGACATCCTGGACATCCTCTCATCCTTGTAGTCAGCGTAAGGAATGCTGATGGTGCTGGTTCAGTACACTGTGAGGGCCACTGCTTTCATGAGCTTCAGATGCCAAGCTGTGCTGGTTTTCAGCAGACTCACAACCAGGGAACCAACGAGAGATTTTCATTCCCTGGGCAATCTCTGAAAATGCTCCTGGAAAAGGCACACAACTACCTGGCCTTGGACTTGTTACATTTCAGTCTTCTGCGACTTCTCTTCACAAACATAAAGAATGCTCACGGAATATGCTCTATGTCCAATGCATAGAGAAAGTAACCACACAATACACACCTAAACCTAATTAAATTTAACAAGTTCCCCTTTCTGAGTAATCTGCACCTGTGCTGGTCTGCCTCTCTTCAAATAACTTTCCCTTCCCCAGTGCTTTTTTTTAGCTTTCAGAGTACCCTTCTGGTTTTTTGCATGATGGATGTTTCTGTACAAAAATCCCAACTCCTGGCAGCAGGAGAAGTTGTAAAATTCCAGCCAGGTCTTGAAAAATAAAAAAAAAAAAAGATGGTAGAAAGATAGGACTGTAGCACTCCACACAGAGATGTAAAGTTTGAAAATGTGGGTGTTCTGAAAACTCAGATATATGACAATGAAATTTATGTTGGTTTTTCTGCCAGCTTTCCCCCCATGTCAATCCCAATCACAAAGTTCTAAAGTCCTGACAAAGAGGGATGGGTCCCAAACCTACTGCCTGCTGTAGTACTATCATGGTGATGCTGACAGCTAGAGGGAAAAAAATATTCTTTTTCTGCTCCCACTGACACACGAGTTCATCCCTTTCCCTCAAACATCAGAAAGGCCTCTTTAGCAAAAGCTGACATGAAACCCTGCTGTGCAATTCTGCTCTGCACAGGCCAGCTGCTTTTGAAGGTCTGTGGGGATGTGAAAGTGCCAGTTAAGAGCTTCTCAGATCAGGCAGGATTTTCCATAAAGCCTCTGCACCTTCTGTGCCTCCTGCAGTAGAGCCAAAAAGCGGCACCAGGAGGGGAAGGGCATGAATTCTGCCCACTGCTGTGTAGGCACACCTGGAGCTGGACAGTGTTTTTAACACCATGTATCTTACCAGGCCAGTGCATGGCAAAAAAACAAGATTCTGATGATCCACTGAACACCGCCCTAATCCCTAACCTGGTAAAAGAGTAGTAGTAGTTGTCACATTTTCAGGGCCTAGAGGGGGAACTGACCACAGTATGAGTGCACTCCACCTATTAACCCAGGGTATCACTGAGCCATAGCTTCATTTTTGCATCTGCGGTGCCCAACATGCAACACTTCTGCCCAGCACGGCGGTGTGTGCTAGGACTGGGCCAGGCAGGGCTCTTGTCCCGTCCCAGCGCCACTGGCAAGGATGACCTTGCAACGCTTTCCCACCTATGTCAGGCTGAGCGGAGGCCCTGAGGAGTTGAGGGAAGAAGGATAAATCACCACCCCAGGCTGCCCTGCGGAAGCAGCAGCTCCCTGCAAATCCTTCCAAACTTCCTGGCACCTCTCCCCACCGCCTCTCCTTCCAGCTCTCTGTCGCCGCAGTTCTATGGGCTCAGCATCCCAGCCGGGGTTTTTTCTGCTCCCCGAAACGCTGCCCCTTCCCTTCCCTTCCCGAGGCTCTGCGCATCCCGCAGCCCCGGCCCTGCTCCCGCCGTGGGTCAGGCATCCTCCGGCCGGGCGCCCGCCGCCGTACTCACCCCGAGACACTCGCTCCCGCCTCACCGCCGCCGTCCCCCTCTGGCCGGGTCTGAGGGGGTTTGGGGTGTTTTGCAGCTTTTTTTTAACTTTCAGCCAGTGCACCCACTTGGAGCGCGGAGGGGCGGCGGGCGGGGGCGGTGCGGATGCACGCCTCCCTCCGCCCCGCTGCGGGGGCGGGGGAAGGGCCCGGCTCTGCCCGGGGTCCCTCAGGCCTGCACAGAGAAGGCGGAGGACTAATCGCCGTGAGGGCGCCATCACTTCCACGCCACCCGACTGGTCTTCTGCAAACCCTCACTGCGAGACCTCACCCAATTCCCAAAAATAAATCCGCCCCTGACACTGATTCCTACAGCCGTTTGCATAATAGCGCGCTTTGCGGTTTTGTGGTGGTTTTTACAACAGTGCTGGTTGTAAAGTCTCCGTCTCCTGACGGAGACTTCACACGGACTGCACGAGGCCAGGGGGCAGTCAGAAAGAGAAATGCGTCACGGCAGCTGGGAAGCCGCGAGGCGCTGGGAGAGCCGGCCCGCGCTCACCGAGGGGACGCATCCCTCGTCCCTCTGGCGCGGAGCTGCGGCAGGCGTCCCGCAGCTGGGATCCTGCCTTGCTTCCAGCCTCGCCGAGGCTTCCCTGCCGGGCCCTGTGTACCGACCGGGAGAACGGTCCTGTCTGCCCGCTCGGGGCTTCCTGAAGCTGGGAAACACTTTGTGCACCTCCCACTCTTTGTAGATGTTTACTGCAAAAGCCTGGTTGTGCAAGGTCAGCTCAGTACTTACTCACCGGATACAGACTTAGGAACCACCCATTCTTGTATATGTCATTCGTATATCCCATACACACACATTTGTATTAACACAGAAATACCTGATACCTATACGCTTCTCCATAGGTACTTATATTTATATAGAAACACTTGAAAGTGAGGTATCTGCTGTTTCTAACCCAGACACGGCAGGCAGGGGTGGTTGCAAGGAAGGGGCTGATTACCTGAGGGAGTGGAGGGAAGAAGAATTTCAGAGGAGGCAGAGGAGACACCTGCGCCTCAACTGAAATGCATGAGTGATCAAAACTGCAGAAATGTTATGCGCACAGCTCATCTCCTTATTCTGGGTGTGTAATGCCAGCAGCCCTCCTGAGGGGATCTTTAGAAAGGCACCCAGCAGGTAACCTGAATCCAGCCCTCTGCAGCAGTGTCCATGACTCTAGAGCCATGCTGGCTCTGTTCCCTTTCCACTACAGCTTATTCTTGCAGTAGCCCCTTTGGAGCAACACCCACCTCTTACTGCACCAGAGAGCCCCGATTTCTCTCTGAACTACCAGTCTCCTCCTGAGATGAAAACTATCAACTGACATTACGATGCTGGGACATACAGATTTATTTATACTGCAGTCTTTGTTTAGTGATTAATCTCAGTTCTTGTCCTATTTGTTGCTTCCTCCCAAAGGTTTTAGCTGTTGGAGTTGGATTTTTAAGTAGAAGCTTTCAGGCTGGGTTTTAGTATTATCTTTGAAGATGAATATTATCTTGAAGTGTTTACAGATATTTGACCTGAACATGAAAGATCCCAACACACTTTTAGTCATGAGGGATGCAGCAAGAATCTCCAAGTATTATTTTGCAAAGCCGATTTATGCGAAAGCAGAATCCTGCTTTTGCAGGCCTAATTCAGAGTACCTAGAGTCTGTGAGGACTGAGGTTATCAGGGCACGGTAAGTGTGTTGTTCAGTAAATTGAGTGGTTGGAAATGGATCAGAGACCCAGTATATGTTGTGGAAGGACTTGCTGTGATCCCACTGCATTTCGATCTAGTCCGTAATTTTAAACTTAGTTACATTCCTGGTTTTCACATTTCCTCAGCTGGCGGACTCCTAAATTGCTCTCACGAGGACAAAACTTAATTGCAAAATGCTTCAGCTTCCTTCAACAGGCTTGACTTTTCCCAGTTACTGTCCCTCAAACCTTTTGAAGCAGTCCACAGACACAATAACCCACATTTTCAGACTGAAAATACACAAGTGAGTCCTGAGGGCAGTCCTGAGGGATAGCTGTATGATCTGCTGTCTGTCCCATACCATATGCAAGCTGTTCTTGGACCAGTTCAATCCAGTGACTGGCATCACTGATGAGAAGAGAGAGAAACTCACTTTTGTTTCTTGTCCTGTTATGCCACTCTGAGGAAATAAGCTCTTATTGCAGGATCTGGTTCAGCTGTAATCCACGTTAAATAGCTGGTAAAGATAAGCATAAGCATAAGCAATGGCAGAGCCAAATCATCATATGGGAATTCTGGATGCGAATGACCAAAAAAATACAATTGTTGCTCAAATAGGAGAGCTAATAAACCAGATTTCTTAAAGATCTGCGTTTCGTGGTGCCCCCTGTCCATGGAGCGCTGCTGGTATCTAACAAACCTGCAATGCAACTTGTCTTTCCGTGGGTCAGGAACAACAGCTTTTCTTTCTGCTGTGTCTCTTACAAACAGGATTTACTGCGTTTGAGGTTTCTGTCATTCATATGTACACATTTCCTCTGATCTGTTTTTAATACACTTTGTTTCTTTTTATGCGTGTCTTTGTTCCTTCTCTCTTTTTTATTATTCTGCACTTTAGAACATTTTTCTTTCTCTTAGGTCCTGCTGTCTTTAGATATGCCCATTCCCTTTCTGTTGTATTCATAGTCCTGTTATTCAAAGTAGCCTTTTCAGTAGATTTCTCTGGTTTTTATCCTCCATTACATTAGTATAGTCTGTGTTACTGCAACCCCCAGAAGCAGCAACCACTCTATGCACTCCAGAGAGTCACTGCACAAACATCCTGGCAGGAACAAATGAAGTCCTCAGAATAAAACAGGGCAGAAAAGGCAGGGAGACAAGGAAAGCACAGAGCTCAAGTGACTTCCCAAAGGAGACAAAGCTGCTCATTGACACAAAAACCACCTGTGGGCCTGATTCTTCCTTGGGCTGAACCTTGTGTCTCAATTTGCAGCTGTGCATTTATACTCCTTCATTGTCACTGTGGCACCATTCTTCTTTCCATAAAATCACTGTAAAACACATGAAACACACAGCAGCTCAAAATTAAAGACTTTAACCATATCCACCACATATGGAATGATTTCCCACCTCCCTGAGAATACAGTACAGATGCAGATGTACACACAGCCCTTGCTACTGCACATGCTCCGCCTTTCTTTAATTTTCTCCATGCTAATGCATCTCAAAATGCCCCAGATTACAAACCTCTACACTGCATCAGCTGCCCTCTCTAATGACTGTCCTCAGCTACTTTGTCCTGCTGACCAACAGCACATCGGGGGATCACAGAATCGTTTAGGTTGGAAAAGGCCTCTGAGATCATCCATTTTGTCAGCTAGACCACAGCCCAGTCTACCTTGGGTAGTACATTTCAATGTCTAATCACCTTTTCTGGGAAGGAATTCCTCCTGATATCCACCCTGAACCTCTCCTGGTGCACTGTGTGTCCTGCCTGTGTCCTGCCACGGCCCCTGGGAGCAGGGGCAAATTCCCACCTGGCTACAGCCTCCTTTGAGGTAGTTGAAGAGTGGTAAGGTCACCCCTGAGCCTCCTTTTCTCCAGGCTAAACACCCCCAGCTCCTGCTGGGTCTGCTGCCGTCTCCAATTTCTCCCACTCATTAAAGGCGGCTGTTTCAAAACCTTCTCCAGTTTCACCTTTCTGCAGAGGCCGAATTCCTCTGCCTTGTCCTGTCAGATCGTCTGAACCTAATATGGCGCCAGACGATCTTTTCCCTCCCCGGTGTGAGCTCCCCGTGAGGAAGCCCGGCGGGCGCAGGGAAGGAAGGCAGGCACCGTCCCGGCCCGCAGCCGCGGCGCGGGACGCGCCCTCCGCGCCAGGGGCGGCGCTGTCGAGCCGCGCCGCCGCTCCGCCCCCCCGCTCCGCCCCCGCCTTTGTGGTGCAGCCGGGTCCCGGAAGCGGCGGCGGAGCGATGGCGGCGGACGGGAGGGCGGCGGCGGCGGCGGTGGTGGAGGAGCTGCCACCGGAGGGGGACGTGGAAGGCGGCAGCAGCGAGCCGGAGGGCGGCTTCGGGCAGCTGCTGGAGGAGGAGGAGGACGGGGAAGATGCCGGCTACGTGCTGTACAGGTACGGCAGCGCGGGGCCTGGCCGGACCGGACCCTCGCGGCACGGCACGGCACGGCACGGGGTGGGGGGCATGGCACGGAGCTGGGGTCGGAGGAGCTTCTGGGAGGAGCAGGGACGCCTTTAACTAGATCGGGCTGCCCAAGGCTTTATCGAACATGGCTTTCAACACTGCCAGAGCATACACAGTTTCGCTGGGCAACCTGGTCCAGTGTCTCGCCACCTTTACAGTCAAAGATTTTCTTCCCAATGTCTAACCTGAATTTCCCCTCTCTCAGTTTGTACCCATTACTCCTTGTCCTGTCATGACAGTTTCTGACGGAAAATCCCTCTCCATTTTCTCTGTAGGTCCCCTTTAGATACTGGAAGGCTGCTCTGAGGTCTTCACACGGCCTTCTCTTCTCTTCTCTTCTCTTCTCTTCTCTTCTCTTCTCTTCTCTTCTCTTCTCTTCTATTCGCTGTACAGCCCCAGCTTTTTCTGTTTGTAAGGGTGGTCCAGTCCTCTTTTCAGCATCGTGGCCCTGTTCTGCTCCAACACTTCCATGTCCTTCTTAAGTTAGGGACACCTTTATGTATTTATATGCTGGTCTGTGTTACAGACAATAATGTAGCTAAAATAGTAGGGTCTGTTCAGAGCAAGGATGTGTTATTGGACACAGGTTTGTGCGTGTCATGGTTTGAGTAGCATTTTGTGCTTTTTAGAAGCGTTGAAAACACAAAACCATGTATTTACAGGGACAGGAAGGAATGGGCTGATATTGAACCTGTTCCTCAAAATGATGGGCCAAATCCTGTTGTTCAGATCATCTACAGTGAAAAATGTAAGTCTTAAATATATTCTGTCTTTAACCATTGTTGAAACAAGACTTCATGTTTTGGATAACATTTTCTAGAGTGATCCTGTGAAGAAATTAATTCATTAATTACGGTGTTACGGTGCTTGTGTGTGGTGTTTTCACCAAGCATCTTTGAAGCTGAATCTTCACTTGAGATGTTAATAGCCAAGATTCTCCTTTAGAATCCTATGGCTTAAGAGGTAATACAGCAGACAGTGTGGTTCATGTCTCAAGGCATTTCCAGCCCACAAATGGAAACAAAACATGAAGTTCTTGCAGCTGAAGTAGTGTGAGTAAGCAGCACA